GCTTCTTTGTTGCTAGGACTGACATGGATATTTTTCTCCAAGGGCAGATAAGCAGGAGCCACTGAAGGATAGGATTCCCACACATGTATTGGGCCATTTTGCTGTTTCCTGTTTTTCTAGTCTTGGGAGTGGGTATGTAGATTACAACCTTAACCTAATGTCTTAGCAGTATAGCAAGACTAAAGAAAGCTTTGAGGAGCTGGAGAGATGGCTCAGCTGTTAAGCACACTGGCTGTTCTTCCAGAGAGTCTGGATTCAATTCCCAGCACCCACATGGTGTCTCACAACCACCTCTTAGGGGATCCGATGCCCCCTTCTGACATAAAGGCATGCATGCAGATAGGGCACTCATACATAAGTAAATCTTAAGAAAAAACTAATTAAAAAAAAAAAAAGAGAGAGCTTTGAGATGGTATTTTTTTTTTCTACTCCAAGCTGAATGGTTCCTCTCAGGCTTACACAATGCTACTAGGTCAGGGTAGAAAGGCATTTGTGGGTCTTAGCCTGGGTTATTGTAACAAAAATGCCATGGAGTGGGTGGCTTGAGCAGGGGAGGTTTATTTCTAGGTGTCAAGCTGGGGAGTCTTAAGATTGAGGCAGTGGTGGATCCTGGGTCTGGTGAGGGGCCACTTCCTGTATTGTAGACATGGCAGAGAGAGAGAGAGAGAGAGAGAGAGAGAGAGAGAGAGAGAGAGAGCGCATCTCCTGACTTCCTTGCCTCTGTCTCCCGTCATTTGCCTGCCTATCAGGTACCTCACTGCTGGCTCTCCTCCCCCTTAAACATTTCTTTGTTTTAGTCCTTTCCAATGGAAGTCTGGCTTCAATTTCCTGTTAAGGTTTTTGCTTTTTGTTTGTGATACAATCTTGCTTTGAAGCCCAGGCTGGACTTTGAAATCCTGCTGCCATAGCATCCCAGGGGCCAGGATTTGCAAGGGAATGCCACTGTGCCCTGTAGTATCAGCTTTGATGACAGAGTTCAGAAACTGAATTGCCATTGTGGATGCCTTAGACTCTGAGTCGTTTGTTTACTGACCACTAGAATGCTTACCACTGACTTAGCAAGTTCATTGTCTTCACCTCATCCTCATCAACTTGTTACCCCGCCTCACTCAGGCTTCTAAATCTTGGTATTTTGACTCTTCTGCCCACGTTAATTTCAGTATAAAAATGCTTTTTAAAAACTGAATCCTGGTACTTTTCACTGGACAATTTTGAGACTGAGGCTTGGTTCAAATATCTTATACCGAATACAAAATACTCCATATTGGACGGACATTTCCAGGGCAGGAGTGATCCTGAACACAATTTTAAATTCATTGTTGGATGAGGAGGGTAAATTTTGGCCTGAATTTCTTTTAGAATGAATTTCATTATCCATGTGAAGATTTGTTTCTTGAAACTGAATAATGGCTGTAGGAAATTTCTTTTCTGTTTGACTTATAACCGGAACTCGCTGTGTAGCCCAGACTCCCAACTGCCAGGATTAAAGATGTATGCTACCGCCCCCAGCCCAAGAAACAAGGAATGAAGAGGCAGTTCATATGATTCTTCCAGAACTAAGAAATGTTTTAGTTAGAGCAGAAAGATGAGCACAGTGATAAACTGAACTCTAGTCGTACCAAAGCTGGTTTTATCCTCCCCGCTCATAAAAAGGTCAAGTGAAGGGAGAGAATGAATGTAGACTGAAGTTTCTCAGTGCCACTAGCTCTTACATTATAAATTAACCCATTTCTATTCATCTATATTTTGCCACACGGCCGTGGCGCTACTGGTCTGCTGGCATCTTGTTCCTTGGGTAGCTGGATGGTGTCTTCCCAGCTCCACCATTCTCCCTCTATCTCTCTTGGATTTCCCACATGGCTATAACCTGTCTTGACATAGGCCAGAGCAGCTTCTTTATTAACCGATGGTAGCAAAATGTATTCACAGCATACAGAAAGACCATCCCACAACAAATGACTATGTCTAAATGGCCAAGTCAAGCTGTCAGTTCCTACATGCAGCATCCTGGCATGGTCTCCTTCATTGTTCCTACATGCAAGCTGAGGAAATAGAACTTTGACTAGTTTGAGGGCATGTTAACTTTAAAAAAAAAAAAATTATTACCAGGTACCTGGGGAGATATGCAATTGGTGAAATTCTGTGCCAGTTATGGTAGGGCATGCTTGTAATCCCAGCACTGAGGAGGCAGAGACAGGTGTATCTCAGGCTCCTTGTCCAACCAACCTAAGCTAATGTGCAAGCCCCAGTTCCGTGAGACACAAATAGATGGTTCCTAGGGGTTTCTAGAATCTCTCTCCCTCCTTCCCTCCTTCCCTCCCTCCCTCCCTCCTTCCCTCTCCACCCCCACCCCCTCAGACAGTATTGTATAGGTAAGGCTGGCCTTCAATCTTCAATTCTTGGTCTTTCTGCTTTTACCTCCCAAGGGCTAGGATTCTCATTGTGAGCCACCATGCCAGGCTTCTAAAATAATTCTTTGGCTCAAGAGTAATTTGAAGGGGTTTGGGTTTTGGTTTTTGTCTCCTACTGAATGTGATCAAGAAAACATGCAGCTACAGAATAAGGCTGAACAGGTAACAGTAGAGAGAAAAAATAAACTAGTCTGATAATTTCTACCTTCTGAAAAACCTGTCCTACTCTTGGTTTGTGTGATGATAATAAATTTCTTTAGTGTTTACACCTTTTGAGTTGTTTTCTAATCGCCTGAAGCACAAAGTATTCTGTATACACAGAATGAAGTACCATCTTCTAATTGGTACTTCAATATACAGGTTTCAAATACAGGCTAATATAACTCCTAAGCAAGGCTGTAAAGCTTACACCTTTTCTAGTGCGCCTGTACTACCTACACTTCACTGTGAGTTTAAATATGCACTAAATATACTAGCAGTGTGTTAAAATGAAGAGCCCAGAGATTGAGAACATAGAGCCATTTACAGTCCAGGTACCAGTGACAGGCAAAGCAATACTGTTGCTGCTCATCAATGTTTCCCTCTCGGGCCCGATGGACATCCTGACTGGTCAGAGTAGCAGGGGGAGGTGCCAGCTCATCTCAGGGTGACAAGTGTACGGCCACAAGACAGTTCTGTCCCAGGAAAAGGTCCCTTAACTGAAGAAAGACAAAGCCATCTGTTCTCATTTTGATACTGTAGTGATAAAACATCCTGGCCAAAAGTAACAGAGAGAGAAAGGTTTGTTTCACTTATGGTTCTAGAACATAGTCCGTCATGTGGGGGAAGTCCAGGCAAGAGCTGGTCACATTGCATCCACAATCAAGAGCAAAAAGAATAAATTCATCTTTGGTTGATGCTTATATTTTTTCACTCATAAACAGTTCAGGGCCCAGCCCATGAAATGGTATGACCCCCAACAGGCCAGTGATCTTCCGACATCAATTAATAGTCAAGACAATCCCCACCACAAACATGCCCATAGGCCCACCTGATCTAGGTAATTCCTCAACTGAAGCTCAGATATGTTGAGGCAAACTGACTATTAAAACTAAGCAGCCTTCCATCTAGAATGGAAGGTCTTCACAGGTGTTTCTGACAAGAGAGGACAAGGACAAGGGTGAAGGAGTGGGACACAAGAAGGGACTTAGCCCATGCCACTCTCGAGTGGCAGCACCAGCCCGCTTCACCTATTTGCAGACATGTTACATCAGAAAAATGAACCTCTGTGGTCAAGTGCACTCAGGTTTCTGTAGTGTACAGTCATACCTGGCATTTCCTGACATAGTGAAGGGCATTCAGGACCTGCCCTGAGGTTTGAAAGGTCAACTTTTTCTACCATACTTTTTTGTTGTTGTTACCTCTATTAAGATTGTCCCAAAACTATCCTATTAGCAGTCTGGTTGAAATGATAAAGAATAATGGATTCTAAAAGTTATTCATTGACCATAACATTCAACTTTATTTGGCTTTTAAAAATAAAATAGAAAGTTATGTCAAACAGGACTATGAAATGTAAGGATGTTGATTTCTCCTAGACTTTGCTTTCAGTAACCAAGACTGTGGAACATTTTCCCATTTTTCAGCACATACTAAATTAGAGAAGGAAGATACAAAGTGTTAGAGATGCATTCATTATGGCAATTTCACAAGTATTC